GGAAGATGAATCCAAAAATGGTGAATCTCAGCCAGTGCAGAAAACCGATAAACACAAATGCAGCCGGGCGGTATGTCTGGATGAAGATCTCATTGGCGAGTGATGGGGCTGTTCCAGCTGTTCAGATCAAACTGATTTGAGTTGTTTGCACTGGCTAGACAGTTTATAATCAATGTGGTATTGTATGTGCTTATCTTATGCAATTTCACACATAGAATGTTGTCGTTTTGAACACAACAGCATGACTAAAAGAGTGATATTGCTTATACAACAGATCAACAAATAGGAAGTACTTTTAAACTGAAATATAGTTAAAATCATCACATTATTGAAGTTTCGCAGGCAAAAATAATCCATTGTATATTAGCAATAGTATAGTAAAGCATAGCTCAAACAAAAGTCACTTTCAAACTAAACCGTTTTCTGTTGCGTGACCAATTTGAATCTTTCACCCTCACATGAAATTTCCATTCGCATGGGTTCCTATTGAAATGACTGGATTTTGCCCACGAAAATTTGCCGAATTAAAGGGGTCATATGATGTATACACCAAATAATGTTCTTTTTAGCAACATCAAATGACCCCTTTAAATTTGACCACACTGTTTAGACACAGTATTGCTAGTTGCTCCGCCAATGAAACTAGTTCCAAACAAAGAAGAAAATCAACTGTCAAACAAATCAAGCAACACACTAGAGATGTTACATTTCTTAATGAATAAGTGTTTCTGAACGGATTAGTCAAGGCAATGATTCAGTGTTTTAATCATTAAAACTTGTTTAGTTCCCAAATGAATCAGCGATTTTGAATGGATCTGGGAGTGATGCAAACAATAAAAAGTCCCAGTGCTCCTTGGGGCCATTCACATAGATAAATGTGAGATGCATGGCAGTGGAATTAAAAATTAATTAATTAATTAAAAAATGCAAGGTGTAGAGATGCGTTTTTTAAAAGTTGAATTTCTATGAACTTGTTAGTATTTAAATATCTTTTGAATGAGCGTTAACGGATATAATGGATCTTGTCCACTGGAATACCTGCTTCCAAAAAGATGTTGAAAGAGAATACGGTGATCTGTGAGAATGAAGGGTAAAAGATCACAACATTTTCACTATACCCAGTTAGTATACAGGTTGTTTTGTAACCATTAAAGGATGTCTTGTGTACTTTTTGACAACACAAGGACATAGGACACTTTTGAATCAGACACATTTCTATACAGAAGCATCATTTGATGTATTGACGATAAATGCTAAATGATTTACAGCAGAGGTGCCGCTGAACTGGATGCATCCATTTATGAGCAGCATGGAAAGGACCTGCCAGCGCAGGTGTTTGTCTCTTAGCAGATCCAGCAGACTCTTGTGCTCCTCTCCAATGACTGCCTGCTCTGCTAACATCTCCTCTATCTCCAACTTATAATCACCTGGTCCCCACAGACACTGCAGTGCTGCAGATGAAAACACATACAGTAGTATAACACAAAAGACGTTTGCAATGACATACAGAGGTTGATCAATTACATGAAATTGCTTTAATTGGTAATGCACCTTGTTTGCACTGTTGAGTGTTGCCTTTATCAGAATATATCGTGGGGCATCAGGGAAGAACGGCAATATTGCCAGCTGGACCACACAAAAAAACGCTGGGATGCATAGAAGAATGTTCCACCACTCTTCACGGCCAAGAATTTCCCTGGGAATAAAATGAGAAACTTCGCTCAATTCAAAGAAATATTGAGTATCAAAAGATTCATTTCCTGAAACTAGATAAATTAAGACCGATAAATCAAACATTAAAGTTGGCATGAAATGAAAATTCACTCTCTCTACATTACTGGTCAAAAGTTTGGAATTATTAGATTTTTTCGAAATCAAACAATACTGTTTTTGAGAGAGGTCTTCTCTTCACCAAGGCTGCATTTATTTAATCAAAAATACAGTAAAAACAGTAATATTGTGGAATATTATTGCTCCTTCGTCGAATCCGCCGGCCGCGCCGTTCTCAAGCCCGCCTGCCTCTGCTCACTCAAGCCGGCCTCCACTCACTCTAGGCCTCCAGCCTCCAGCCTCCGCTCACTCTAGCCGTGAACCAAGGCTGCATTTATTTAATCAAAAATACAGTAAAAACAGTAATATTGTGGAATATTATTACAATTCAAGATAACTGTCTTCAAATGTAATATATTGTAAAGCATAATGTATTCCTTTGAATGGAAAGCTGAATTTTCATCAGCCATTACTCCAGTCTTCGGTGTCACAAGATCCCTCAAAAATCATTCTAATATGCTGATTTGATGCTCAGTTAGTTTTGGTGCTCAATTATTAACAATTATTCTTACTTTCTTATTCTTAAATCACTTCTTTGCTGCTTAATATTTTGGTGAAAATCATTTTTCAGGATTCTTTGATGAAAAGTTAAAAGAACTGCATTTATTTGAAACAGAAATCTTATGAATGTCTTTCCTTTCACTTTTGATCAATTTAATGTGTCCTTGCTTAATGTAAGTATTACTTTTTTTTTAGTCTTACCCGAAACCTTTAAATGGTAGTAGACATCTTAATAAGAGATTACTTTAAAGAGACTTTTCACTCAGTTGTATGTTACATTTCAAAAGAAAAGATCCTCTCTAATTCATCACAACTTTAATATTTAATTATTACCTGAGGCCAGCAAATTGTCCTGAGAGTTTGCAAAAAAGTTGCGGCTGTGAGTGTCACCATGCCTCTGATTTTCTTTGGTGGTAGATGGTGTGTACACTCCCACCCAACCCTTCGAACAAAGAGCGAAAGCAAATCACAATGCACATCACATCTTATTATCACATGTTAGGTCATATTTATATACAGTATAATGCAGTCTGATGCACTTACCTGCTCCAAATCCGAGTAGGAAGCGTGCTACAAGGATCAACTCAAATGAGTTTGTAGGTTTGCTAATGTACATGATTACTGTGGCCACAACTGCTATGGCACTGTTCAACAGCATGGTTTTTTTCTGCAAGAAGAACATATACAGTAAATGAACATGCATTGTTGTGAAAAAAATGCCCAGTCTGTGATTTACCCCGAAGATTAAGTGCTAGAATAGAGAAAGCAGTTGAGGATGAGTGAGATTAACCTTCCCAGATGACTGGTTAAGTATCTGACAGTCATGGAGCCAAAGAGACCTCCTAAACCATATAGAGCCACCACAGCAGACCAGATAAAAGTGACGGTCTTCTCTCCTGGAACATCCCCGTAGTGATCCATCCAGCTGCTGTTAATGAAGCTCTGAATGTACTGTGGGAAAACAGATTTGAGACAAATCGTGATCGATTGATTCATACCTAGACTGTAAGTATGGTACTGAAATGGCGATAGAAAAAAAGTGATACTTAAATGGCCTTCTGGTTACACTTTATGTTGTTGTTACAAGCAACTAAACTAAACCCTAACCCTATAGTATGTACACTATTAAAAATAAAGGTTCTTTATTGGCTTCTATGGTTCCATGAAGAACATTTAACATCCATTGAACCTTTCTTTTGCACCAAAGGTTCTTTACAGTGGAAAAGGTTATTTAGATTATTAAAATGTTCTTCACACTTAAAAAATAGTTTGTTCAAGAATGTTTCACTGAATGGCTCTTTGAGGAACCACAAATGGTTACTATATGGCAACGCAGCAAAAAACTCCCTTTTGGAACCGTGATTTTTTTTTTGTACATCTTGTTACTCAGTATGTTTTATAATTACACTGTAACAAGGACACTTAAAATAAAGTGTAACCTGCTTTCTTAAAGTAATAACAGGAAAAGAATAAATACAAATTCAAGTGCGCACTGGAGTCGGAGAGCTGATCGCTGTGAGATGAAATCCATTCTGAAAAAAAAGATCCTCCCAATCCCAACACAACGATAAAGATAAGTGCTTTGCCACCAACCTGAAATTACAGACACACTGTTCATTGACTATACTTATTCAACAAAGTCAATGACAAAGTCAATTTAGATATTTCACATTAAACTGCAAAGCCAGCACAGATGGGGTTTTCTCTTGTTTAAGAATGACATAAAGCCACATCTTGAGTAAATGACTAAATTTTGGTTAAAAGTTGAACTATGAGCTTTGTTGAAAGATATAAAGAAAATATATGGGTTATTTTACTGAGACATAAATACCAAGCTTTACTATTATGGTTATTTTGTTGAAATATAATGAGACGATAATTCTTTAATTCTTCTATAAAAATTTAGATTTCATCTAATTTCTAAGATCTGGCAGTATAATTAAATAACATGCTCCTACCAGTTCCTGCAACACGCTCCTCATGTTTATCTGCTTGTAGCCTATCTTCTTGTGTCCATGAAGTAGCACTGCTTCTCTCCAATAAATACAGTGTCATCTCTGTTAGGCATTTTGATTAATTTTTGACACTGGAATGACTCGTCACATTTTGTCTCCTATAAAAGGTATCTATCTGCTTATCTATATCTATCTGCATTTGTCCGAATTAAAAATTGTTTCATTTTAAATGTATTATTGATACTATCATTTTGTGGGTTTATCTGAATATTGAATGGTTAGGTGTGAACTGGAGTCTATTAAGGGAGAAAAAAACGTGTATGAGAAGTAATAAATAAATGTGATTTAAAAATACATTTTAATTGAATAATTAAATAATTGATTAAAATATCAATTTGATGTATGAAAATTAATATTGAAAGACGAAAGAAAGAAAGAATAATGTAAAGTAATTTTAGTAAAATGACTATATTTTACACATATTTATAGTATTATTCTTCACAGTTTAAATAGGGTCTTCGTGAAAATATATAGCTGTCCTTTAATTTTAGGATGTGGGTCCCTCGCAAGAGGAGGATCATATTTGGGGTCCGTGGCATCTAAAAGATTAAAAACCCTTGTGGGTGCAATATAACACATAACCAGATGGGGGCAGTGTTGTTGTTTTTGATAGGTTGTTTGACTTAGATAGACAGTCTTTTCCCTGCGTCATTGTCTCGAGCAAGAGGAAGTGAATTTATACATTTTTTTGTTTGGATTTCCCCCTAGTCATCGTTGTCACTAGTTATCATTATCACTCCCGGCCATAACACAGACTCCCGTCCTCCTGTAGATCTCTTTTAACTCCGCAAATATGCCTTTGGAAAACCTGGAGGAAGAGGGTTTACCTAAAAACCCCAACCTGAGAATAGCTCAGCTGAAGTTTTTACTGACTCTGGATGATCACAGACATGATGCTGAAGTGAAGAGCGAGCTGATGGACGCCATCAAACTCAACAGTGAGTTCATTCACTCGCACACGCTGCTCGTTTAGCAGATAAGTTATATTTCAAAGTTTCTGTACTACCGCAATATATGCAGCTGTTTCATGCACGAGCTTTGTAATTTCCCTGCGTTTTGGGGTTTAGCTAGCTGACCGGCTAAGCCAAGTAGTACACTAGCTCATTAGCTGCTACTGTATTTGCTTGTTATCATGCACACATTTGGTCTTCTGGCGCTTTTGAATGTCGATTATTAGCAGAGGTGGGCGTAACTCACACATGTGCAAGTCACAAGTAAGTCTCAAGTCTTAACCTTCAAGTCTCAAGCAAGTCCAAGTCATTTTTTGTGAGAATCAAGCAAGTCAAGTCACTGCTTTATGTCAAGCAATTCAAGTCAAGTCGTAGCTTGGGTCAAGCAAGTCACTGTCAAGTCATACAAATGTTTGATGGTTTAACTGAATTTATATATTAAAATAAGTTAAAACTACAGTAATTATGGACTATGGGAGTTTTATTTGCAGCAAAAAAATTGTAATATGCATTTTGTCCACATACAGCCGAGTTGTTAATGCAATAAAAATCTAACAATAAAAATGTAAACTACATAGCCTAAAATGTAAATGTATCTGAAATTAGGCCAACATAAAAGCATGAAAAGTATTTAAGTACAGCTGTTTCAATATGCCTCAAACATTGCAGAAAACCATGAAAAAGTATTACAGTTTTTCTGAATTGCTAAAACACTTTTCTTAAAACCATCACTCATTTTCTCAAAACCTTAAACGCAAATCTAAAAACTCAAACTAACTTCACGGAACCTCTGACTCTTCCATCAAAATCAAACAATCACTGCAAAACCATTTCACTTGCACTCAAAATCAAACAGTGCTCTCAGATCACACACACATGAGCCAATAAAATAAACACTACAGAGCATTCATTAGACACTACAGAGAAAAATGGAGAACACAGCATCCAGAACATTACAGAGAAAAAGTATATTGTATTGAGTAAACGATTTTGCAATTCTGTAAAAAAGTATAGTACAGTACACTCAAATACTGTAAGTTGTGCAATTGTAAAATCAGGGTCAAAGAGAGATTCATTCTGTCTCAGCATATCATGTCTTTCTGCTTGAATCTGGCCTGCAGGACTTTGTCCACATCACAAGTGATGTTGTCTTTTTTGCTAGACAAAGAGACAAAAACCCTCTGGTCTGACAGATCCAGCCTTGATAACAGTCTCTAAACCTTACTCTCTCTCTCCTCATCCTCCACTTCTTACATGTACGCTTCCTCCTCTCCTTCTCAGATTGTTTCCATCTATTGTTCGTATCATCATTCAGTCACCTGTGCCACTTGTGCACTCTGAACTGGCTCATATTTTGTACAGTTGGTTTGATCACATCATTAGAAACAAGTGTGAACAATTTTGAATCGTTGTGTGTAAACGATGACAACTGTGCTTTAGTTGTGTTTAACTTTTGCCGCTTGTGTTTAGCATTTTGCAGCACAAATGCATCACAGTGTGATAAGTGTTTAAGTGAATGAGAATGTGTTTAGAGTTTTGCAAAAAGAGTGCATGAGATTTGCAAATAGAGCCTAACTGCCTGAA